ATATACTGTATATATATAGTACTATTTGCCTGTGCAATTAATGTCTGTGCAATTTTTTTTTCAGATGTCTGCATATTTTTTGTAAGTAATTAATCAAGTAATTATCAAATGATGGAGAAGAGCATTTAATCAGGCATATACGCTATACCATTTAAAAGTTTTAGGTTGAAAATATAAAATAAATATTATATATATATACATTTTCAGCATCATTACTCCAGTCTTCTGTGTCACATGATCCTTTAGAAATAATTCTAATATGCTGATTTGCAGTTCAAGAAACATTTCTTGTTATTATTAATATCAGTGTTCAATCAACAGTTGTGCTGTTTAATATTTTTGTGAAAATGATGATGCATATTTTCAGAATTATTTTATTTTAGTTCAGAGGAATAGCATTTATTTGAAATAGAATTCTTTTGAAATTTCTGATAAATTTTTGATCAGTTTAATGTGTCCCTGAATAAAACTATTAATGTCTTTCAAAAAACTTTCCGACCCCAACGTTTTGAAAGGTACACTAGTGTATTTCATGTAACTCCAAAAATCTATTTTATATTATTATATTATCAATATAAAATTGTTAATGTAGTTAAAATTAATATATAATTGTCTGTATATATATATGTATAAATAGCTATTTGCAAGATGCATAAGCTGTTGTCTATGTACTTTATATTGTTTAAATTAATCCCCTATAAGTTTGCATAATGTTCTTTTGCAAATAGAAATATTTTGTAACATTATAAATGTCTTTATTTTGACATTAAATCAATTTAATACATCATTGTTGAAAAAAAGAACCATAGTTGATTGTTTTATTAATTTCTTTAAAGGGGTCATATGATGCAATTTCAAGTTTTCCTTTCTCTTTGGAGTGTTAAAAGCTCTTGGTTGAAAACTACGTGTTTGAGAGAGGCGGGGCATAGAGGACCTACAATAATGTACAGTATTTGAAAAATAATGTGTTTTTTTAACATTAAAGCATGTCAACATATTCTGTTACACCAAATACACAAAATAATGATCTTTAAAATAGCATCATATGACCCCTTTAAAAAAAAAACAGATTGTACTGACTCCAACAGTAGTATATACAGTAGACATGCAAGGTAGTCGAGCACATTTAACATAAATAAACATTTTAAAACGCCGAAAACCTAGTAACTCAGAACTGGCATGCTAAATGGAGTATTGCATTGTGCAAATGTAATATTTTGATGTATTTGTAGCATGATTTGCATAGTTACTCGAGTGCTAAATAAACGCCAAATCTGCTGGTTCAATCCCCCTTTAGTCCTAACACACATAAACAGAAGTTTCAGTTGTCAAAAGGTTTTAAAGGCTTTGATGTGTTAAGCAGCTCTTAAACTAAGTCAATCTAAACCTGCTGGCTCACTTCCTCTCAAAACTGACATCCGTCTGTGAAGCCCTTGGGGAAGAGCCTCAGAGTACGGCGGCTGATAAAGAGAAAGTATATGTCAACCATTACAAGTCATCCTGCGGCACTGTGCTATACGCTAGCAGCAACAATGCTGCAACAAGCCCGAAGCGGAACAAGATTCAGCGTTGCAGAGGTCAGCTATAGCGTTTGTTTAGTTGCAACCTGCATTACCTCTCATCGGAGCTTGTTATCCCATCAAAACATAAAAATAATAGGCGATATTTCTAAAAAATAATAGCTGCTCATCATCGCTAGGACTGACATCGGCTGGTGACAGGTGACAGCGGCTGCTTCTTAATGACCCGCACAGGAGGTGGTGACAGTGCCCTGCAATTCAACACATTATCATGCAATTACCACCCAAAATAAGTACAAATGCTTCACTTGTTACATGCATTCATCATTATGCAGACAAAACCTGAAATCTGTTACTGTCTAATAGCTGAAGGAACTCATCATGTCGGAGGAGAGAACTGATATGAGAGCTAATTTAACGACCAGATGTGTTCATCTGACAGCATGTGGCATATGGTAAATAAACAGCCAGATTTTTTTTTTTACATGTTTGTTTGAATGTGAAAAGCAGCCTGACACCTGTCGCTCGTTTATTCATACAGCACAGAATAAGCATCTACGAACATGCAATTATCAGTGAGATCTGTTTTACACATAAATCATCCTTTGGTATGGATTTTATTAAAATTATTCAGTTAAAGTGAGCCACAGATGCACTGAAACAGTTTAAAAGAATTAAATGGGTAAAATTAATGGATGAAAATGAATGAAAAATTATATATTTTTTTTAGGTAATGTTAATAATTAATACATAATTATACCATGTTTTTTTTTTATAATATATCAATATTAATTGATAATATATTATGTTCATTTAACTTGAAATGACTAAATGTATCTGTATACTCTGCTGTTCAAAAGTTTGAGGTTGGTAAGATTTGTAAATGTTTCAATTATTATTATTATTTTTAATGCAAGAAGTCTCTTGTGTTCACTCCAAGGCTGCATTTATTTGATCAAAAATATAGTAAAAACAGTAAAATTGTGAAATATTATGACAATTTAAAATAATTATTTTCTATTTGAATATATTTTAAAATGTAATTTATTTCTGTGATGCAAAGCTGCATTTTCAGCATCATTACTCCTATTTCTAATATGCTGATTTGCTGCTCAATAAATATGTATTATTATTATCAATGTTGAACAATATGCAATACATTTTTTTTCAGGATTATTTGATGAATAGGAAGTTCGAATAGGAAGCATTTATTTGAAATATACATTTTTTACATTATCATTTTAATATTATAAATGCTGTTACTCTCCCTATTGATCAATTCAATGCATTCTTGCTGAATAAAAGTATGCATTTTCATTACAAAAATATTACTAACTCCAAAATTACAAATGTATTTATTGTCACTTTTGATTAATATAATGTCTACTTGCTGAAAGAAAAGTATTAAGTATTTATTTTACTTATTCTTAAAGTATTTCTATAAAAAAATAATAAAAACCATTCTGACCCCAAACTTTTAAAGAGTCGTGTATGTAGAAATTAACATGAACTTAAATTAACAAATGCTGTAAAAGTTGATAGATCATAATACTAAAGCATTATCTAACAAACTGAATGCTACATGCAATAAAAAAAAACATTTAATTTTTCTTACATTTACACGACACAATAGGATGACTGGGATAAATAAAATCTAGTGCTCTTGTACCTTCAATTTATTATCAGCAGATTCGTCCTGTGCAGTGGTACAGATGGAAGTTGGTTTACGGTTTCTCCTTGCATCTCATATTTGTAGGTCGCTTTCAATAAAAGTGTGACCTAAATTAATGAATTCAAATGTAAGTTGTTAGAGAAGGAACACAGCTCACACGTAAAGGATACTGGCTGTGCATCAAAACATGCAACACTAATTACAATCGCACTAATACAATGATCACAGTGCCTGAACAGCAGCTCAACAAATCACCTCGTGGTTGTGTGTGTCTTGTTTTAGCTATTCTCTGGGGACAAATTAGTAAGATTAATCTGATGAAACATTCATTTGGAGACATTCTCAAAGGTGAAAAGGATTCATAAATCACATTTTTTTTATATTTTGTTCTTTAAGTCAAAGCAAAATCAGGGTAAGTCTGTAGTAATTATAATTAGCTTAATTTCTTCCTCACTTAACATATTATACACATCTACCTGAGTAAATATGCATGTTTTAGGACATCTTCAAGTTTGGACTAAATGACAAATGCACACACACAAACCTCATTGTGCTTTGCTGATAACCTTTTAAATGCATGCTGTAATTCGCACAGCTGGAAGAGACTGTTTACTTACAGACAAGACCAAACAGCTCCGTGTCAACAAAAGCTGCAGGTCACAGAGTGTCTGTGTGTTAGATAAAGGTCTGTATGAGTGCTCTCACCTCGCTGCAGCTCTCATTCAGTGAAGGAGAATCCTATCGATCATATCAATCCATTTGGAAAGCTCAGCTGGTGGGTAAGAGGTTCCCAGCATGAGCCTGGAGAAGAATTGTCCATGCACTTCACTAATTCATATTGTGATCAGAGACATAGATTTGCATGCAAAGTTACCAGAGTGACGGAAAAATAATGAGAAATTCTGTTCTAGATCAGTGAACACAGACAGCATGAGAATTCACTAAACACTCAATTTGTTATGATATAGGTATGACCAAAGCTACAGTATGCCCAGATACAGGACGGACGGACGGACAGACAGATGGAGCCAAGTAAGACATGTTCCTGGATCAACATCTTTTGTTGATCCTGGATCAACATTACGGTCCAAAAATATAGACTAAACCCAATCCCTACCCCTAAACCTAACCATAATTTATTCCTAAAATCAGTGTGAAATGATAGCTGATTAACAAGGGCATGATTAATGCTGAGTAAAGAAGCACCTAACCCTGTCCGTAAGCCTAAAACAGACATTTCCTGAAAAGTTATCCCTCAATTCTGATTGGTTAATTGGAATGTTGTTCCAGGATCCACAAGGATGTTGATCCAGGAACATGTTATACTTGGTGAAATCACAGTCTGGATGGATGGATGGATGGATGGATACACAGGGTATAGAAAAGAATCACCCGCTTTAAAATAATCATATTTTGTTGCTTTGCAGCCTGAAATGAAGACGGACACAGTTTTTGTTTTATCCAGCTGTATTTACTCAGTGCAACTTATAACATCCAAGTGAAAGAAAGAACACCAACTTCCGGAAATAATAAAAAAAAAAAAAAACAGAATCGCTGAGTTGGAAAAAGGATCACCCCCTTGTGTCAGTATTTTGTTGAACAACCTTTTGCTTTAATTACAGCCTCTAGTCTGTTGGGATTTGTCTCTACTAACTTTGCACATTTAGACTTTGCAATACTTGCCCACTCTTCTTTGCAGAACTGCTCAAAGTTCAGTTCAATTTGATGGTGCGCGTTTGTGGACTGCAGTCTTCAAGTCATTCCACAGATTTTCAGTGGGGTTTAAGTCTGGGCTCTGACTAGGCCATGCAAGGACATTCACCTTTTTCTTATTCAACCATTGTGTGTCAGTTTTGCGGTGTGCTTTGGGTCATTGTCATGTTGGAAGGGAAACCTCCTTCCCATTGACAACTTTCTGGCAGAGGGCAGCAGATTTTTCCTCAAGAGTTTGATGGTATTTTGCCTCATCCATTTTTCCTTCTATCCTGACAAGTGCTCCAGTCCCTGCTGCAGAGAAACACCTCAGAGATTTTCCTCAAGAATTTGACGGTATTTTGCCACATCCATTTTTCCTTCTATTCTGACTAGTGCTCCAGTCCTTGCTGCAGAGAAACACCCCATAACAGGATATCAGCACCTCCATGCTTTACTGGAGGAATGCTGTTATTTGGATGGTGAGCTGTATTGGATTTCCGCCAGACATATCGTTTGATGTTGAGGCCAAATAATTAAATTTTAGTCTCACCTGCCTTAGAATCTTCAAGGTGTGTTTTGGCAAAGCTCGGTCATGACTGCATGTGGTCTTTCTTAAGGAGTGTCTTTTTTCTTGCAACCCTCCCATACAAGCCACATTTGTGGAGAATTTGTGATATTGTTGTCACTTGCACACAATGACCACTCTTTGTCATAAATTTCTGCAACTGCTTCAGAGTTGCTGAAGGACTCTTGGTCACCTCTCTGACCAGTTTTCTCGGCTCTTTCATCCAGTTTGGATTGACGTCCTGATCCAGGGAGGGTCTGTGTTGTACCAAATACCTTCCACTTCTTAATAATAGACTTCACTGTGCTTCTAGGGATTGATAAAGTCTTTACATTTTTTTTGTATCCATCTCCTCCTGACTTGTGCCCGTCCACAACTTTATCCCAGAGATCTTTTGACAGTGTCTTGCCACCCATAGTTGATTGTTTGCTTCAGTTGCACTACCAAAGACTGAAATGCTCCAGGAAAGCTCTTTTCGTGCTGAGCTAATCAAAATGACCACAGCTGATCACAGTTGAAAGTCTGGCTTTGTGTGCCATTAAGGGGATTGGCTACACTTAATCGAGTTTACAAGTCATTTTTAGGAGGGGGGTGATCCTTTTTCCAACTCTGTTTTTTTTTTTCTGACAGGTTGGTGTTATATCTTTCACTCGGATGTTATAGTATGTTATAGTAGTAAATACAGCTGGATAAAACAAAAACTGTCCGTCTTCATTTCAGGCTGCAAAGCAACAAAATGTGATTCTTTTA